GATTAGGCCATAGTTCAATTAGGACATTTAAGTAGCTTTTATAAACGTGCCTTGGATAAAAACACAACTGATGTGCATCTTGAGACAAAAAAAATTATTTTAAGATCAGCCAGTTCAAGTTGCTCTCAGTTAAAACAGCCCAGACATGCATTTTAGTCTGGGACTAGTCTTGACCAGCCTTGTCTGTGAAACCGGGGGATAGCGTCTTTACACCTTTTGCTTATATATTGCTTACTTTACACCTTAGTTTTAATAGATTATTAACTCAATAAACAATACCACTGTATGAAAATAACTTAGACACTTAAATTTGAACGGTTATTTCGGAACAAAAAAAAAATTCTCACCGTTGTCTCTATACAAGCGGCCATCTTGCCAACAACATCTCGTTTTGACATCTCGCGTGGTTCTGTGTGATTTGGACAACTTCAAGTTACGCCTCCTTGTTCAAGTTACGCCACGTTAGCGCTGCCGTTGAACAGCGCGCACGTCGTTTCCATCACTCCAGTGCACTTCTCCATTTCAATCCATCACGTTGGCATATTACGAATAATAATCCATAAACAAGTGCATTTTGTTGCACAACATCGTAAGGTTAGAAATCGAGCATCGAAGTTTCTTATACGTTACATATGTGAGGACCTGACCTGGCGATCTGCCAGGACGTCACGCGCTAATCTAACGTTACAGTAAACATGGGCACACGAGCAACAATGAAAGCTTGTATGTATTTTATTTAAATAAAATCCCTCGAATCCAATCATTCCTCATAGTTTCATCCTGTTAGGAGCTAGCAATTAGAGTAAACGGTCATTCTGCACGATCGCGATTGTACGGAAGCCCTGAACTTGGTTTATTTGGTGTTTCAGGGAAATAAAAATGATCACTATAAATGTTAGCTATTTTGGCATACAGTGTTATTAACATTCCACATTTCTATCAACATTATTTTTGCAGACATGCAGAAGAGAATTTAAGAAGAAGAACAATGAAAAGATGATAAAGGAGATGAGCAAGATGAACAAAACATTTGTACATCGACGACACAAAATCATTATGATCAATGTCCATGTGTGCAAGACATAAAGGAACGATGGACAGCCCTGTTTCAACCTTCTCAAGTGAGTTAACAATGCTCAGAGACAAAAAGGAACATAATGTATCTGAAAACACCCTCTCAAAACGTGAAATTAATTTGACTCTCATTCCGTATTTCAGGTGAATGCAGAATTTCACAGAATAACCACTGTGCAGCTGGAACCTAAATTGGTCCTCACTGGATCTTCACACTTCCAAGCTGTTGACAACTGTTTCGTGCCAAAGGAGGAGCACTCAGAAAGACTGAAAACTGAGATGGAACTACTGAAAGTACAGTTTAAAATGAAGCATGCAAGCCATTTGGCTACTTGTTGTGTTATGTAAGGGTGAGAGGAATTGTTTATTCTTGTATTTTTCTTCATGATCAGCAGGTAGTACTTCCCCTTCTACTGTAAATTAAATCTTAAACGTGATGATATTTAGGTTCTCAAACAAAAAAAAGCTGACATGCATTTATGTGTGACAACAGTTCAGTGAGGTTATGTTTTGTTGCCTTCAGTTCATTTCATGGACTTTCACAGAAAATATTAAATAAGTTATGTTTATTTATATATGTTCAATTTCAATTATAGTATCAACTTCAGTTTCAAATGTAAATCAGTTGTACAGAGGATAATACAGTATCTGTTTATAGATTCAAGCACTGTTTAATTTATGAAATTTACAAATCAAAACAATTCCTTTAAGTAGTATTCATTAGCATAGTACTCTGATGAAACCAATATTTTTGTTTAAATTTTACTTAAATTTTTTGTGTGTGCTATTTGCATCTACTTATTTTGAATGGCTAATTTTTAAGAACACGTTTGATTAATTCTAACTCGATTCTCAATAGTTGTTGAATTTAATTAATATTATTGCTTGTAATCTGTTGCCACAATTTTATTGAGTAGATATAGTGTATTCTTTTTTACAGTGTACCAGTCATGTTGTGCTACAGTAGGAACATCTCCAATATCCCTGTATTATGTTTTATGTGTGTATGGCTTCATCTGCTTTATTAAAATAGAAGCTTAATTTCTCTAGTAGTCATTAGAGATAATTACTTGTCACTTTGCAGGTGCTGTTTACCTAAAGCCACTAAACTACAGTAATTGCAGGGACAGTCTGCAAGCAAAAAAATGAGATTAAGTACCTTGTTCAAGGGCACAATAATGAGATCGGACTCTTCAATTACCCATACATGCAAGCAAACCTGTAACATTTAGGTCAGGCATTTTCAAACTGCCATCAAGGGGGTGCTAGGTGGTCAGAAAAAAAAAAAAACGAATTTTCATGTCTGTCTTTCCAAAACTGTATGACTTTCTTTCTTCTGTGGAACACAAAAGACAACATTTTTGGATGAGCTACCCTATTAATGCCATCCTAAGATATTCATTAAATATGTTTAACAATTGTAGACATTTACTTTTCATTTCAGAATGTATTATCTATATTTCACACTTTACATTTTTCTTGTACAGCAAAAATACCACTCAAAAGTTTGGGGTCAGTAAATTTTTTCAAACATTAAATTTATCAAAAGTACAGAAGAGGATTAGGGCCAAGCAATAATAAAAAAATAAAACCTTAATACCAATAAAAGATAAAAACCTTGAGATTAAAGTCGTTAAATTTCGAGAAAAAAAAGGTCGAAATAAAATGTTGAGAATAAACTCATTAAATTACGAGAAAAGCCGAGATAAAATGTTGAGATTAAACTCATTAAATTTCGAGAATAAAGACGTTATGTTTGTTGCTGCTGTGTGTTTTGAGTTTGAGCTCCATCAAGTTAATTCTTTATCGTCTATTTTTTTAATCTTAAAATCAATTTTATACACTGTCATTTTCGTTTCTATAACGTGTGAATATATCCTCTATCGTATTCTACAACAAAAACAATCAGAGCGCCTTGTTATCACTAGTTTTATTTTGATTTCCCGAGTCCGCTATTAGCTTATAGCCCGTTAACATCGCCAGCGTGGTTGCCGCTAATCTTGCATACATTGCTAATACTCTAGTCACACACATTACCATTGTTTTACTCACTGTTACTTGCTTTAATGGTGGATGTCTACTGTCACAAGGTAAGCTTGGTGACAGACAAGAAATTACCTGGACTTGATACACATGCACACATCATTACTTGATTATGCCGGCATTTACCATCTTTTAAATCATCATGGTGTTGTGTAATTATTGTGCCTGTTTCAAATGAGTATGATACTATGTTGTTGTTGTTTTTGTTGGCCAACATTTTGTTCAATCAGTTATTTTTTTTAAAGAATGTCACAATATAGTTTAATTTCAGTCAGAATTACCTTTATTTCGGGTGAGAATTTTCCCCAAACCTTTTGTTTTGGCTGTTGAACTTCCAGTCTCATGCTGTACCATCAAACAGACCATGTGGATCAAACTGGTGTTTATAGCATTAGCATGCCCCTTATTGGACTGAACCATTGGTAGTTTTGTCTGGGGGAAGGGGGAATAGCAGCTGAAAGATTT